GTCTTGAGCTAAACTGGCACCTTTAATATTTGCCTACTTCTCTGCACTGATCCCAGCTGAGTAATTAACATGGAACCAAAATGTGAATAGGGTATTTCCTGGGCTTATTGTTTTGGGGTTATCTGCTCCATTAGGATGGGGAGGGGGTCTGAAACCAGCCTGGTGCAAGTATTTTTGTATATGTTCCTTTGCTCTGGCTGAGGTCTATCATTTTAAATGACAAAATATTTAGAGTAATGTGCCTGGACTTATTTTTCATAGACTTCACAGTTTACATCAAGAAGAAATGCCTCAGTCTGGCTGGGCACAAATAACTGAGCCGCCACAAAGCCTTGTAGGTTCAAACAGCAACTACTTTATTTCAACTCTCATGGGCACTGCAGGGGTGCTTTTTCGCCAATGCCACTCACATGGCCCTTCCAGCAACCCCCCACACTGGAAATCCCTCCTCTGGCACTTCCCCAACCAATGGGAACTCTCCAGGAATCCCCAGGAGAACTACAAAGTAGAGCAAGAACTTCAAATTAGCGGGCATCTAAGGCAGGAAGAGCCACCCCATTGCCTGACAGTAAAGGTCAAATATACAATGGAATCAATCCAGCATCACAGCAATTAGATATAGCTTAACTCAAATCATCATCTCAATGGTTCCCTGGCTTAACCTTTCAAAAATTCCCTGTCACCTTTCAAACATTCCCTCTGGCAAATGCCAGGCGTCATTTTGACTGGCCATGGCTCTCAACAAAGAACAACAGCTAGAATTTATCTCAACACCCCTTTACACACAAAATATAGGTTATCATTGAAGATGTTGGAAGTTTCATCAAGGTTTATTAATTAGAGAACAGGCTGATCTAGAGAGAATGTAAAGTACCACCAAGTCCTATGTTTTCAAAACAAAAAGAAATGTGAGATATATAGGCATGCAGAAGAATATTTTTCTTTTTTCTTTGTTTTTTTTTTATTTCATTTTTAAAATAGAAAGCAAATAGAGGAAAAAGGAGACCAAGGTGGGAAATATAATTACTGGCAGGACTATGAAACATTAAAAAATAGAATCTAGATTTCAGAAAAGATTTGACATATTGTATTTGGAGATGTGGATGGCATGAGTGTCCATGATAAGAATGTTGTAAGCTTCTGAAAGAAAATTGATATGGTGAAAGAAGCTTATGTAACCCAGATCCTTA